ATGACTGATTGTTCCCCTCTAAATGATTGATAGCCCCACTCTACATGACTGATAGTTCCCTTCTAAATGACTGATGGTCCTACCCTAAAGGACTGATAGTCCTACCCTAAATAACTGACAGTCCCGCTCTAAATTACTGATAGTCCCGCCATAAATGACTGATAGTCCCGTCCCAAATTACACTGATAGCCCCTCCCTGGATGGCTGAGAGCACAGCCCTAATTCACTGATAGGGCCCTCTTAACTGATGTTATGCCCTAGATGACTAATAGCCCCCCTAAACTACTGAAAGTCCTGCCCTAAATGACTGATAGTCCCTCCCTTAAATGACTTACCGTCCTGTCCTAAATGACTGATAGTCCCTCCCTTAAATGACTTACAGTCCTGTTCTAAATGACTGATAGTTCCCTTCTAAATGACTGATAGTACCCTCCCTAAAGGACGGAGAGCCCCACCCTAAATAACTGATAGTCCCGCCCTAAATTACTGATAGTCCCGCCCTGAATGACTGATAGTCCCGTCCTAAATTACACGAATAGCCCCACCCTAGATGGCTGAGAGCCCAGCCCTAATTGACTGATAGCGCCCCCTTAAATGACACTGATATTGTACAATACAATACAATCTAAAAAACCACTAGTTAAAATGCCAGACCTTTGCGTTTAATTCGTCCACGATGAAGTGGCACAGAGCTGCTTTCCAAAAGTACTCTTTAGCGTTGTATTTCAGCAGAGGATTATCCATTGTGTTGGATGCAACCTGAATGAGAAGAGAGCAGAAGATTTTACTGTCACTGTCATTTCATGCATTCAGTTTCCAGTCTCTGGTTTATCAGGGGTTGCCACAGCAGAATGAACCGGCATATGTTTTACACAGTGGATGCATTTACAGCTGCAACCCGGTACTGGGAAACATGCTTACATTCTTACATTCACACACAATTATACACTACGGCCAATTTAGTTTACCCAATTCACCTTTGGGCTGTAGGGGAAAGCAAAGCACCCGAAGAAACCCACGCCAACACGGGGAAAACATGCAAACTCCACACAGAAATACCAAGACTCTAACCAGCGACCTTCTTGCAGTAAACCACTGAGCCACCGTGCCGCCCATGCAAAAAATGTAAATGTGCTGAAATTAAGTTAAGATTAAGTTAAAAATTAAGTTAAACATTGCTAAATCTAATTTGCTTAAATTCACCCCATATTAATTGTTTGCAACCACTCACCTTAAAAGATTTAGTAAATCCAGTGAATCATTTTTTTCAGTGCAGGAAAGAAATATCCTGCAATTTCATTTAGCTTATCTGGATTTGCTAAAAGGCGACACAGTGGCGCAATATGTAGTGCTGTCGCCTTACAGCAAAGTCACATGTTCGAGCCTCGGCTGGGTCAGTTGGCATTTCTTTGTGGAGTTTGCATGTTCTCCCCGCGTTCGCATAAGTTTCTTCCGGCTTCTCCGGTTTCCCCCACATGTCCAAAGACATGCGGTACAGGTGAATTGGGTAGGCTAAATAGTCTGACGTGTATGAGTGTGAATGAGTGTGTATGAGTGTTCCCACTGATGCGTTGCAGGCTTGCAGCTGGAAGGGCATCCGCTGGGTAAAACATATGCTGGATAAGTTGGCGGTTCATTCCGCTGTGGTGACCCCTGATAAATAAAAGGACTAAGCCGATATATGAATGAATGAATGGATTTACTAAAATAACAAAAACTAAAAATAACTAATTAATTTTAGAAAATACAACAAAACTAAATTAATTTAAAAATATTATAACACAATAAATAGAATTCTAACAGTTTTAAAATAAAAGAGACAAAACTAAAATCACAATTCATACTATTAATTAGACCTAATAGTATTTAATTCATTCGTTCATTTTCTTTTCGGCTCAGTACCTTTATTCATCAGGGGTCACCACAGCGGAATGAACCGCCAACTATTCCAGCACATGTTTTAAACAGTGGATGGCATTCCAGCTGCAACCCAGTACAGGGAAACACCCATACACACACACTCATACACTACGGCCAATTTAGTATACTCAATTCACCTGTAGCAAATGGACTGTAGGGGAAACCGGAGCACCCAGAGGAAACCCACGGCAACACGGGGAGAACATGCAAACTCCACACAGAAATGCCAACTGACCCAGTCAGGACTCAAACCAGCGACCTTCTTGCTGTGAGGTGACAGTGCTAACCACTGAGCCACCGTGTCGCCTCCAAACAGTATTTTAAATACACAACAAAACCTAATTCGATAATAACAATAGGCTTTTATTTGCATCTGAATTTCCTTATAAAAAATAAATGGCTAAGTTTAAGACAAGACTTGTGCGTCTCTGACCTGCTCAAAGATCTCGATGGCTTTGGGGTATTGTTCCAGCTGAGCGCTGTACGAGCCCACCTTCAGCAGACACTTATTAGCAGAGCTTAATGAGAAAACAGAAGGCAATACAAATGAGCACACAATTTAAAATGAGCATATGGCTCACAACCAGAGAAAATGGAAGATAGACATACAGTTGAAGTCAGAATTATTAGCCTCCCTTTGATTTATTTTTTAAATGTTTCCCAAAGGATGTTTAACAGAGCAAGGAAATATTCACAGTGTGTCTGATAATATTTCAAGAGTTCACACTTAGCTGATGATTGATTGTAAAGCTTGTTTGGCATGCTGTCCCGGGAGAGAGCCCTGAGCTCATAAGATCCTTGAGCCTGGGGCTCCCTCCCGTTTGCAAGGCGAGAGGGGAGTTTGAGCTCAGGTAGATCTCGAGAAGTCCCCTGCTGTAGTAGCTAATGAACAGATAGTGATTGCTCTTAAGAGATAACTACTTACTAGGAGCATGCCTATTGTTCCCATTTGTATTAGTCAATTAATTTAAGTTGCATATGTTTGGATGGTGGGAGGAGACCGGGAAACCCGGGGGAAACCCACGTGTGCACAGGGAGAAGGTGTAAACTCCTCACAGAAACATTAGCTGGCTTGGTAAGGACTAGAACCAGTGACGTTCTTGCTGTGAGGCAACAGTGCTAACCACTGGGCCACTGTGCCACCCTTCTAGGAAAGCAGGAGGAGTAGGGGGGGAAGGGGGGATTCTTCAAAACGAAGATGGCTGTTATATGAAGCTCAGGGTGTTTATAGTGGAATAGAAATCGTCTGATTGGTGAATTATAAATTGAATAACGTAAGCAATCATAAGCATGTGATCCTCTCGAAATTAGTTTATAAATAAACTTCACTTTAAGAGATATAAGAGAAAGTCTTATGATCTGCAGAGTGTATGATTCTTAATATTAATAAACCCATTCAAATGTCTTTTTTGTGCTCCAGGCTCACATTTATGATAGGGTAAAGCAGAATATAAACACAAACCTGTTTGACTCTTCACCTTTATAGTAGTCTGCGGCCTGTTCGAAATGAGCAATGGCCTACAACACAATCAAAACATTCATGATGGTTACAATAATACTCAGCAGCATTTTTGGAAAAGTATCACCTCATATAAGTTTAAAGGCAAACCTTTTCAATATCCACTAGCTCGGATTCATAGATCTCCGCAATAGTCATGTGATGCTTTGCAGCGATGGTGAACCTTCCCTGTCAATCACATGAAGCACGAGAGAAAAACATTATGTCAACAAGTCATGACAGCAGATCTTCATATGTTGCTTTAATTTATTTTTATCAGTTAATCAAGTTATTTTTAGTCAGAATAAAACCGATTAACTGTTAATCGAAGGATGCGTTTTAACCAATGAATGGTATCAGCTAAATAATTGAAAAATATTTTAAAAATGTTAAGTTTGGATGCATAAATGTGCAACACATATTTGTTAACTTGTGGGAAAGTAATACGTGCAACCACACGTGCCTACACTGTCAAAAATAAAGGTATACGATTTGTCCCTGGGGTGGTACCTTTTCGAACGGTACAAATTTGTACCTAAATGGTCCATATTAATACCTCAAGGGTGCATATTAGTACCTACAAATTTTAAGAGGAACACTTTTGCAATTTTTAGGTACTAACATGTACTCATGAGGTATTAATATGGACCTTTTAGGTACAAATTTGTACTTTTCGAAAAGGTACCACCCCTGGGACAGATTGCGTACGTGTATTTCTGACAGTGTACAGACGTATTTTGCCAAAGAAGCAAAATGAAAGAAGAATATTGCTAGTCACAGTTTGACACAGACGAGTTAATGCCAAACAGGCGCTGATGCTCATTGCTTCTGTCCTGGATCTGCGTACAATTGGAGAAAGAAGCTGCAAAACTAAACTTTCTGAAATGTGCTCTGCTTTGGAAACAAGCTGGCCACAAGTCGGAGCGTCTGGGGTTTCTCTCCATCAGAATGCGATTCGCACCGCTCATAAGCACAACAAATAGCTTATAGTTCTGATTATTTAGTGTACAACCAACAAACCAACCTTTTTGTCCATTTGGAAAATTACAGTAATAGTTCTTACATAATACCCATTTTTAAAATAGCCTATATCAGTGGTTCTCAAACTGTGGTACGTGTACCACTAGTGGTACGCGGGCTAACGTCTAGTGGTACGTGGAGGAATCACTGAGTAATGAATTTAATTTGCACAATAGCATCAATGTGATCAGCATTGGCTGTAATCCTACAATCAAACCGCTGTGCATAAAATGTTTACTTTCGTGCATCGCATAATCAGCTGCTAAAAAATCAATTCAATTGGCGCAGAACTAGAGAAAGAGGTGCGTGGTGCTTGGAAAGCAGATACTCGCTAGAGCAGTTGTCTCAAACCCTCGGGACACAGACCATCACCGGTTTATAGGTCAATTGGTACCAGGTCGCATAAAAAATCATGAATTATTTCCGTTTTATTTATAATCTGAGTCTGAACGATCATTTATTGGAAAAAAACTTTTATTTTGAAATATGACCAATTTCTCTTGTTACATCTCAGTCACTTGAGTGCCAAAATTTAACCAACTGATTAGCAAGATGATTACTGCAGCACAACGCGCATGTATATTCCAGGCGTGCCGAGTTGAAAACGTCTTTTCAGAATGCTGCACGGCGAGTCACGTGACAAGAACCGACTGATATGCTACTTTGTTTTAATACCGGTGATTATGGTGGTACATGGAGTGACAATTTTTTTCTGAGGTGGTACTTTGTAAAAATAGTTTGAGAACCACTGGCCTATATGATCTACGAATCAAACAAATTCAGAGCTTTGTTGATTTTTGCATGAAGATAACTCCACACTAAACTGAAGCTTTCATTTCACAGCTTATTAAACATGTATGCAAATTAATGCAATATCATATGTAAACAACAAAATTGTTAAACGCTATTGACCTTATTCTTCAATGCTGAAGTGCGCTTGTTTTCGCGATTGTTATAGAACTTTCGATTCAGTCGCCTATGGGGGAAATGACTAGGAATAATAAACGGCAGAAAACGGTCCGACTACTTACTCTACAAACAAGCGTTTGCATGATTATACAGACAAAAGCAGAATCATATACTAATCAAATATCAGTTTTTGTTCTTCCGTCAAATAAAAATATCAGGCTACCTCAAATCAATCGCTCCAGGGAAAACATGCAATTAATTAATGCTCTGTTGTTATTCTTATATCACAAACCTGTCAACATTTTTAAAAGAAGTCATTAGTTTAAGAATTATGTCTTGAGCATGTGGTTTTACCTTTGTTTCCTCTTTCACTCGCGGTTCAATTGTTGAATACTTGTTAAGTGTCGGCTACTATTTACCTTATTCTCTGTGTACGAGCGGGCGCAGCCATTTGAATCATTTTGGTCCGAGAATTCCGGTCTCATTCACTTCCCTTCATTTTTGGACATTAAAAACGGCTCGTTTTGCTGCTTGGTGTTGCACACATATATGATTGGACAAGTAGCCTATGTCGGTTATTGAAACAGATTCAGTCAGTGTTTTCGTTTTGTTATCATTCATTTATTCATTCATTTTCTTGTCGGCTTCGTCCCTTTATTAATCGGGGGTCGCCACAGCGGAATGAATCGCCAACTTATCCAGCAAGTTTTTACGCAGCGGATGCCCTTCCAGCCGCAACCCATCTCTGGGAAACATACACATAAACATTCATACACAAAATCATACACTACGGACAATTTAGCCTACCCAATTCACCTGTACTGCATATCTTTGGACTGTGGGGGAAACTGGAGCACCCGGAGGAAACCCACGCAGGGAGAACATGCAAACTCCACAAAGAAACACCAACTGAGCCGAGGCTCGAACCAGCGACCCAGCGACCCTCTTGCTGTAAGGCGACAGCACTACCTACTGCGCTACATTTGTAATTTAAGTGAAAAATACATGTATCTAGGGCAGGACTATTTATTTAATTCTTTTTATTTAGTTTATTCTGTTTTCCTATGCTGTTGGAAACACTGCGACTGCCTGAAGATGTTCTGTTGTTAATATGTTTTGTAGGCTAGGCTGTTGTTTAGTATTTTAAAACGCAATGTTCAATGTGTCACACAAAATAGACACGTCAATTAATTTTTAAAATTAAATAATAATTTAATCTTAATCTGACCAGTTAACGGGAAATATTCAGTTAATGATTTATTGTTATCGGTTGGCAAAATAGACCAAAATAAGTCCATCCCATCCTTGATTGAAATAAATTGACTAGGAAAATTCATTTGATTCTACTCAATGTAAACTACTTTACATTACTTGTGTAATTTTTATACAGTGTTTGTACTATTTACATGTTCAGTAAGATTAACACACCATAAAAAATGCATTCATTTTATGCATCAACAATATGTGTGTTTAAATAAAGATGCCAAGTCTTACCATGTCTGTATAGATATCGATGGCTGCGTTTAAACAGTTGATGGCCTCTGTGTGATTTATTCAAACAGAATGAAACAAAACGTCAGCAAGATATTTTCAAAAGAGTCGAGAGAAAGTCTCACGATACAGCACATACACTAACTGATAGAAGTCTTGTCGCCTTTCCAAGTTTTAGGAACAACAAATAATAACTTGAGTTCTAGTTGATCATTTGGTATCAGAAGTGGCTCATATGAAAGGCAAAAACCTCTAGATTACACTTACCAAAATAAAATGTGATCATGCCTTGATTTTTAATTATTTAATTAGGACAGTAAGCTCTGACTTTCACTTTACATCTCTGCAAAGACTCAAATCACTTATTAATAAAGTCATCTGGAATGGCAAAGAAAGCGTTCTTGCAGGACTCCCAGAGTTGCATTCATCTTCAATGCCAACTCCTTCATCTTACCCCAGACATGCTCAATAATGTTCATGTCTGGTGACTGGGCTGGCCAATCCTGGAGCACCTTGACCTGCTTTCAGTAGCTTTGCTGTGGAGGCTGAAGTATGAGAAGGAGCGCTATCCTGCTGAAGAATTTGCCCACTTCTGTGGTTTGTAATGTAATGGGCAGCACAAATGTCTTGATACCTCAGGCTGTTGATGTTACCATCCACTCTGCAGATCTCTCACACTGAATGCAACCCCAAACCATGATTTTTCCTTCACCAAACTTGACTGATTTCTGTAAGAATTATGGGTCCATGCGGGTTCCAGTAGGTCTTCTGCAGTATTTGTGATGATTGGGATGCAGCTCAACAGATGATTCATCAGAGAAATCCACCTTCTGCCACTTCTCCAAATGATCAACTAGAAGTCAAGTTATTATTTGTTGCTCTTAAACTGGGATTGACGACAACAATACAACCAATAGCACATTAATAAAAGATGAAAATTGCTGTTATTTTCTTCAATATTGATTAAAGTATTAATTATTGCCCCCACCTTGAGGATCTGCTTTCTTATAAGCATTTCCAGCATCAACAAAGCTGGTGGCCGAGTCCAGTTTATTCTGCATCTGCATGTGAAGTCTTGCCGCTTGGCAGAAAGCATTGCCCGCAGCTAAAACAACCAACAAATCAGTGTTTAAGTTACTGACAGTAATGAGAATAACTCATCTAGAGCAGGACAAAAGCTTAAAATACATAAAATACATCAATTATGACAAGTCTACAGCAGCTTGAGCTACGAATAAAGGGATAGTTCACCTCAAAATGGAAATGTGGTCACACTTTATTTTGATGGTCCATTTTTTAAATTTAAGTTACATTGCATCTACATGCAAACTTATTCTTATTTAAGAGTTCACACTTAGATATTGCTTGATGATATTAGCAGCTTTGACATGCTCTCCTGGGAGAGAACCCTAAGCTTGGAGATAATCAGCCCAGGGCTCCCGCCTGGTCGATAGAGCATGTAAGGGGAGTACGAGATGAGGTGGTTCTTGGGAGTTCCCTGTAGTAAAGAAGGAAAGTGGGAGAAGGGGTGGATGGGGGGTTTCTTCAGAAAAAAAAGATAAGGGTGTAATTTTTTGCTAGGCTACTGTAACCCCACCGGTCCTACGCCACCCAACCCACTCCGGGGTGTCAACTTTTTTTGGTAGTAATTTGGTAATACAAGCTTCAGTGAATCAAATTTATGAATGTATTTAAATTCCATCCGATTTATTGATAAAATGTATACGTTTTCAGTGTTTTGAGGGATATTTTGTGACTATTTACGAGGTTGCTGTAGGTCCAACTATAAAATTATGGGCTCTATTTTGACGGTCCATGCGCAGAGCGCAAAATGCAGGGCGCAAACGCTTTCAGGGCATGTCAGAACACATTTTTGCTAACTTAAGGACGGGAAAATCCACTTTGCGCCATGGCGCATGGTCTAAAAGGGTTGAGTTTATTTTCTTAATGAGTTATAGGTGTGTTTTGAGAATAAACCAATTAGAGTCTCATCTCCAATTCCCTTTAAGAGTCAGCTGCGTCGCACCAAGAGCGCATTCGCTATTTACAGGACGCAAAGTAAGTCTAAGTGAAAATCTGAACATTTCACCAGCAAACAGTTAACAGTTAACAGCTTTTTTTAACAGAAAACTGTTAAACAGAGCATCTACTGCATGAGAATGAGAGATAATGGATCACTTTCACTTTCGCTCTTGGATAGGGAAACCTTTATGCACAGACATCAATCAGTCTATAAATAATTAATTGCGTTTGTTAAGAGCAAATATTCGTTTCAAAACTATTTCTAAATTCAGTTCTAATTTCCAGCAAATTAATAATTGAACAATAATAACGAAGTGTGTTCAAAAACCTGAGTTATATCCTAAAACACATGCTGTGCCCCATATGGTCTAAAACCTGACAGGTGGGCAAATCTAAGCTTGTTTTTAATAAAACAAATATAAATATGGATATAATAAATAATACTGCTAATAATAATAACATTATACAAAAGCAAATTGTTATGAATGAACTGAAAAAGCCTTCCGAGATGAAGAAGACATAAAAGCAGTGATTTTTCATATTTATGTAGTTTTTTTTAGTCTGCATGCAGATGAAAACACGTATCTTACAAGAAACTTGTTTTGTATTGAATTTAATTGAATTGAATTTTATTTGACAGATTAAAAAGTATCCCATACACTTTGTTATAAAAACTGTTGAGGATAAAAACACAATATAGCCCTGGGCTTATTTCCATTGTGGTCCTCTGTTGAATAAAACAATGTATGGCTTTAAAATACCAATGATGCATAAAACAAACAGTCGCCACAGCGGTATGAACAGTCAACTTATCCAGCATATGTTCTACACAGCTAATGGCCTTCCAGCCGCAACCCTATTCACACTCAAGTCACATATAAAACAAAATATCCTCGTCCATCATGCAAACTAATTATCCTCATCAAACAACCATCTTTTGATAGCTTTTTTGAACAACCTTAAATCTTTTATTTCCTTGATTGATTTTAGTAGTTTGTTCTACATGATTGCACTTGTATATAAAACATATTTTTCCCCACTAAATTTCTAAATTTAAATAAACAAATATTAAAATCCCAACCCCTAGTACAGTATGAGTGCTGTTGCTTCACCATTTGAAAATAGATTGAAAATAGAACCACATTATTAAATATTTTACGTACGATTCCCAGTTTTAAAAAACACACTTTATTACTAACAGTTAACATACCTAATTCATTAAAAGATTTGTTGTGTAAATGTGCTCTAGGATAAATTTTTAAAATTATTCGTACTAATTTATTTTGTGTCTTTTGCAATTTTTCCTTCATACTCTGTGAGCAGCTACTGTACCAAAATGATGTAACATAATCAAAATGGGGTTGAATTAAAGCTCCTGCCAACAATTTTAAAGAATGAACATCCAACAGATCAGCTTGCAAATACTTAAGATGTCTATCGGCGCTCTAGAACTGCCAGTTTTAGATTGTTGAATTATATTTTGCCTAGCATTGATTGGCGCAATTTTGCATGCACAATGTTATGAACTGTTACAGGGGGGTCAAATGTATATTTTTAATTTACATTTTTTAATTATTAATAATTAAGGTATACAGTTGAAGTCAGAATTATTAGCCCCCCTTTTATTTATTTATTTTTTTTTTTATATATATTTCCCAAAGTTTAACAGAGCAAGGAAATTTTCACAGTATGTCTGATAATATTTTTTTCTTCTGGAGAAAGTCTTATTTGCTTTATTTCGGCTAGAATAAAAGCAGATTTAATTTTTTTAAAGCAATTTTAAGGTCAAAATTATTAGCCCCTTTAAGCTATATATGTTTTAATAGTCTACAGAACAAACCATCATTATACAATAACTTGCCTAATTACCCTAACCTGCCTAGTTAACCTAATTAACCTAGTTAAGCCTTTAAATGTCACTTTAAGCTGTATAGAAGTGTCTAGAAGAATATCTAGTCAAATATTATTTACTGTCATCATGGCAAAGATAAAATAAATCAGTTATTAGAGATGAGTTATAAAAACTATTATGTTTAGAAATGTGTTGACAAAATCTGCTCTCCGTTAAAGAGAAATTGGGTAAAAATAAACAGGGGGCTAATAATTCTGACTACAACTGTAGATCAGAGATCAGGGAAAGCTATTTACTAAAGGGCTGAGCGCCCACTCATCTTGTTTTGATGTCCTTCAGGGGGGGGATCAAGCGTTAATTAGGTGGTCAATCCCCCTTTAACTCCCCAGTATTTCACACCCTGGTCACCACAGAGGAATGAACCGCCAATATTATGCATTATGTGAAATAATCAGCCACTTTGCATGTAAACATGAAATGCATACCACTCCAGTTTTTGGCCATCTTGAACATGTTGGCAGCTCTGGCATACATTTCGCATGCATCCTCCACCTTATGATTCCCCCTATAAAACATCACAAATCTTCAAATCAACAGCCATTTCGAAAGCAACGTGTTATAACGCGTCGTAGCCTGTCTAATGCAGCTCTATTATAGCATTGCGTGTCGCATCATGGAAATATTTGACATTGGACTGTCAAACGCGGAGGCATAAACATTCAGTCGACTCATTTTACACATCGCACATAATGAAAAACGGACGAATAAGAATGCATTCACAAGATATAGGTAGGTTATGCATGCTTTAAATGAGAATACTTTAGGATATTATACAATATACAGTATACAACGCGGATGGATACACGTTCATTTTCATACATCGCATATAGCCTAATAAAGAACCGACGAATAATAAGAATGCATTGACAAGATGTTAGGCTCTATTTGAAATGACTACAGGACATTGGACGTCTTATGAATGTCAGATCGTGACCAAAATCGCTGTCTCACCCGAACATCCCTCCGAGAAATGAACCCGAGGATTTGACTTTTTTGTCCGCCTCCGCCATCAGCTGCATGGCCTCCTTCTCTTTGCCGGAATTGTCCATGATTGCGTGTAAAGGATCGGTAAAGGCCCCGGGTTTGTTGATATAGAGTGCGGTTTAATGCAGAATCATGAAGGATGTGAATCTCCTCCTCCTCCTCCTGCTGCTGCTGCTGCTGTCGGGTGATGCTGATGCTGCGCGTTCATGAGCGAGAAACTGCGACACTCTTTGGCTGAGAGGCGAAGCCACGCCCACTTATTATCATACGCAGAGCTGGGAAAGAAATGCATTGATGAATACACGTTCATAATATTAGAATTATAATGAAAAATCAAAGTGTCTGTTGTCATCAACTTATTCATCGATTTGTGTAAGTAGATTAAATTAAAACACCATTTTTTAAATACTGCAGAGACATAAATCTCTTTATTCTGCAGCATTTATGTATAACCTACGTCAAACTTTAGTTTTATTCATGTGTATGGAGGAGTTTACAACGGGATATTCATACATATAGGCTAGTTTATAGACAGTGGCGCCCCCAGAAAATATTCTTAAGGGTGGCCAGATGAGGCCACACCAAATCTTGGGGTGACACACACACACACACACACACACACACACACATACACACACAAATTCAGTGTTAGTGTTATTTTTATTTTTATTTTTTAGTAAACTAAATACTGTTGTTTTAATTAATTTAATTAACTGATCTGTAAACAGGGGCGGACTGGCCATCTGGCAATTCTGGCAAATGCCAGAAGGGCCGGACCATTTTTTAAATGTGGGCCGGTCAGCTATTTTTTTATTTTTTTATTTTTTAATATGTATTGTTTTCACATGCAGGCAGCTTTTATCTCTTGCAAGATGTGAGTATTATGATGATAATGATGATGATGATGATGATGATAATAGTAATAATAATAATAAATGTTAAGCATTGGCCCAATCAACAATGACCGGCTGGTTTCGAGATGGGCTGACCCAAAATCTGGCTAGAATGTCAAAAAAAAAAAAGTAAAACTCTGCCGAAATGCATAAAATTAACAGAAATAGTCTCGAAAGAGGGCAGCGGAGGGGCGCAAGAAGGATGCTTTTTCAAGCCTCGGCTGGGTTAGTTGGTGTTTCTGTGTGGAGTTTGCATGTTCGCGTGGGTTTCCTCCTGGTTTCCCTCACAAGTCCAAACATGTGCTGTAGGTGAATTGGGTAGGCTTAATTGTCCATAGTGCATGTATGTGAATGTGTGTGTATAGGGGTTTCACAGTGCGTTGCACTTTGGAGGGCATCTGCTGCGTAAAACATATGGTGGACAAGTTGGCGGTTCATTCCGCTGTGGTGATCCCAGATTAATAAAGGGACTAAGCAAAGAAAATGAATGAATGATCACATATATAAATTTGTTTTTGTTCCTGTCACATACATTAAATGTTTAAATATCTATTACATACAGTATATGGTGATATTATTTCACCATCTGTACACCAAAATAAGTAGTGAATGTGCGTGTCCGTGCATGGGGCTGTGTCGGTGTAGTAATGTGGGCTGGTGTGGCTACAGTGCCAGGGCTGATTTTTAGTCCCAGTCCGCCCCTGTCTGTAAATATTTCATCATTCGTTCATTTTCTTGTCGACTTAGTCCGGGGTCGCCACAGCAGATTGAACCGCCAACTTATCCAGCACATTTTTACGCAGCGGATGCCCTTCCAGCCGAAACCCATCTGGGAATTAAATATTTCAATTATTACCAAATATTATCACTATATATTATTACTAAAAATAATTATGATAACTTAATTAATAACAATCTGAACAAAAGGCATTACTGTATACACACACTTACTATACAGACCCTGATAATATAGTTTATCCATATTTCTTTTTGAGCAACAATATTATCAATACAGCGTCTTCTATCAATGTGCCCTAAAAAACTATTGAATTTTTTGGCCTTTGTAAGTCAACCAGCCAGAAAACTGAGGTGCTAAACAATTCTAAAAAGCTGATTTGAAAATGCATTTATTTATTTATTTGGTTTTAAATTGGACAAAACACAATGCTTTTGCGCCATGTGCTTCAGACTTGCACCTGGTTGGTTAAAATGGTTAAAATAGAGCCCCTTTTGTTATAAAATGTGTTTTCATTTATTTATTTTCTTGTCGGCTCAATCCCTTTATTAATACGGGGTCGCCACAGCAGAATGAACCGCCAACTTATCCAGCAAGTTTTTACGCACCGGATGCCCTTCCAGCCACAACCCATCTCTGGGAAACATCCACACATACACACCCACTCGCATGTCTTTGGACTGTGGGGGAAACCGGAGCACCCACACTCTCAGAAAAAAAGGTACAATGAGGGTACAATTTTGTTCCTAGAGGGAACAAAATATAAAATTGTACCTTTAAAGGTCCCATATTGGTCCTTAGGGTACAATTTTGTACCCAAATGGGCTATAAAGGTACAAATGTCCAGATTTAGGTTTGAAAGGTACATTTTTGTACCTTTTATAGCACATTTGGATACAAAATTGTACCGTAAAGGACCAATTTGGCACCTTTAAAGGTACAATTATATATTTTGTTTCCCTATAGGAACAAAATTGTACCCTCAGCTCATGATAAGATCAAGACACTATATAACACTAATTTAAATGTATTAATACTTAATATTAATACTAAAATACATAATTTAAAAATATAATAAATAAATAAATTGATTGAATTAAATATTTTAATAATAAATAAAAAAAAATTCATGTATTTAAATTACATTTTTTCGCAAAAATGTTAATAATTTAATTTATAATTGAATGTAATTTTAATCATTAAAAACATAAATACTGGTCTTTGCTTACTGTTTAAGACCCTATAGTTTATGGGATGTAGAATAAGAACTATGCAGAGTGACAGCATCTTCATACAGGTGGTGATGTTGCTGTCTCTTTAAGAATTTGGCTTGTTGAGACCTTATAGTAGTGTTTGTTACTGAGGCGGTCGGTAGAGTATGCTGGCTGTTTACACAGAACTTCGCACGCTCTTCAAAGGAAAGTCTATTTTGGAGTCCACACTTTTCAGGTAAGAATGTATTAAAGATATATTTTCAGTCTCATTTTTACATGTGAAGTCGTGTTCTGTTGATTTTGTCTGACTCTCGGGTCTCGGCTTTCCCCCGCTTTAAGTGCTCCGGGCTGGCCTGCAGGATGGAGTTTGCTAAGATGTCTGCAGCTTATTAAAGAAGTTAATACAATGTGATATCGAAGTCACCGAGGGACATAACATTATAGACGGTGAGTACTAACGTTATATGCTGTTAGTTTTCTCGGTGTAAAAGTTCCCTTTATCGCCTACGTAACGTATTCGCGCCTTATATACGTTACGTTACGTTACTGCTTTATTAATAAGTGTTGCCACGGCGGAATATAATCGGAACCCAAATAGCAAAATACACTCGGGCCAGTTGCGGCGGCAGAAGCGAGCCGACGCTGCCGTATCCGTGCACCGAAATCGGGCCGTGAGTAATGTGCGGTGTGGCCCGGAGCTCGCGCGACTAAAGTCTTCATATACCTTGATATAAAACCTTTTGTTATTAATACTGGAAATTTGAAATTATCGATGATGTTTTATATTTTGAGGCCATTTTTCTAGCCACGGTTGACCGCTGAAATGTAATTTTAGAGGTTATATAAGTTACACCGCCATTTTGTGAAGAAAAATCACAATTTTGTCACCGGCAAAGCGACTGATTATGTAAACGTGGCTAGTTACAAACGTGGCGTGTGTATGCTTGTACATATCTTCGTTTCAGTGTCTAAGTTACATTAATGTTGAGGAGTGTCCACAAACTCTCATGTCCAGAATTGTTGGTGCTTTACTATCGTTTAACGTTATACTTATGTTAATGTAGAATTATTAACATACCACGTTTTATAAATCGACGTTTTAGGTTATACTTTGTTCTTTAATGTAATAATTTGTCTCATCTGTTCTGAAACTGGTACCTTGAGCTATTTTACCTATTTTATTAATATCTCAAAATAAGTAAATAGTTATTGCTTTATCTTATTGCTTTCCAGAAGTTTTTGAAGTTTCCAATTGTCTTTCAGGACAAGATTGAACAACAGAATGCAGCCTAACAGCATCAGACCAATGAAGGCATGTCATATGAAAGCATGGCTCAGTTACAAGATGTAAGTATGTCTCATTATCTATACCATGGTTTTACATACTATTTTAAATGTGTAGGTTTTTACTTACAAACAACAATAAATGTACACCCACATGTTTAAAATTATTTTCTAGGTTTTCATCAAAAGATGAGAGATCAACTGAAGAATGCTATGGATCTGACTCTAAGGTACTCTTTCTAAACTTTCTCCACTTGATTAATATTATTAAATTCTAGCTTTGTATGGATTCCTTCATATTTGTTTGTATGCCACATCTTATGTTCCAGGAATTGATTTTACAGCAGCACTTCTCATGTTGCCAGCCTTGTTAAGCGAGACACTTCAACATTTCGTTGTGCTCAGGTGTGTATGTTGTTTTCTGTTTAGTATATGCTGTGATAAATACATTTTATAATGCTTGATATTCTTTATATTAGGATGACGCAGTGGGTAGTGCTGTCACCTTACGGCAAGAAGGTCGCTGGTTCGAGCCTCAGCTGGGTCAGTTGGCATTTGTGTGAGGAGTTTGCATATTCTTCCAGTGTTCGTGAGGGTTTCCTCCAAGTGCTCCGGTTTCCCCACAAGTTCAAAGACATGCGCTATAGCTGAATTTGGTAAGCTTATTTGTCTGTAGTGTATAAATGTGTGTGTGAATAAGTGTGTCTGGATGTTTCGTAATACTGGGTTGCAGCTAGAAGGGCATATGCTGCATAAAACATGCTGGATAAGTTGGTGGTTCATTCCACTGTGGCGACCCTAGATTAATAAAGGGACTAAGCCGAAAAGAAACTGAATGAATGAATGAAATTTATATTAGTCTTTTAATCTGTGATACTTTTTTTTTTTTAATCAGTGAATATTAATTATTTTCCTTTCTATGCATGTTGATTTTCTCTTCATCAGTGATAGAGTGACTGATATTAATGTAATTATTGCTTTGTCATTTACAGTGAATCATCTTCACCACATCCAACAGTTCA